ACTGTAAAGTCACTTTCACTGTCTGTTCGCTTAGATCTTGTAAACTGCAAAAGATCTAAGCGAACAGACAGTGAAAGTGACTTCGTTTTATACTATTTAAAGATATAGATAACACAATTTTGTTGTGACATAAATCTATTGGATCGATATATTAAATAGATTGTAAGTGGTTGAATAGCTTTAAGGCTTTAAATCTGTTTTGTAGGCTGTGGATTAAATATGAATGAATATGACATACAGTTTGCAAAAAAAAATTTTTACATACTTTTATAATTAATTTTTTAAAATAAAATGAATGTTTATATGGATTTTTTTTTAAATTTAGTACAAAGAAACATTTTTCTTTGGCTTTTTTGGGTTAGACTATTAAATATTATATCTTTATTTGGTCAAAGTTAGTATTCCAGGCGGACTAAGTCGCGGGCACAGTTAGTTAAAAATATGTGATTATTAACACTTCTCATTAGGTCAGCGGTTAACTGCTTTGTTATTTATATTACAGAAAAAAAATACATATTCTTAAATACTATATTATTTAATCTTGTCGCCATATAACAATAATTTAATACATGTAAAGGTGCTGTACTGTATTAATTGAAAAAATACTAATTTATGGCTTTAGACTTTAAAGTTAAAACTATAGAGTAGATGTTCTTAAATTCGTATTTTTTTTTTACTAGGTGTGATATTGTTAAATGTGTATTAGATATTTCTGTAGTATTATTTAATCTTGTTGTATATAACAATTTAACACATTTAAAAGAGCTGTACTGTGTTAACAAAAATAATAAAAATTTTGATTTAGATTTTAAAATTAAAACATTACAGTGGATATTCCTAAAGTTTTAAGTTATTTCAGTATTGTACTAGGTCTGCGATATTCTGAGTAATAGGTATTTCTTTATTATTTAATCTTGTTGCATATAACAACAATTCTACACGTGTAAAGGTACTGTACTGTTTCAATTTAATACAATTCAAATTTTTGTATTTAGACTTTAAAATTAAAACTATAGAGTGGATTTTTCTAAATTTTTTAATTAATTCAATATTGTATTAAGTTACAGTTATTAATGTGAATAGTAATTGCGACAATTACGGCCCAGTTTGCGACATTTTTCACACAATGACTGGATATGTTCTTTTTCTGTATCAGATTTATCCAGTCCATCAGGTTTCTCTAGTGGAGTCTGAAACCAATATCAGATAAAATGTAATTAAATATAAATTGGGTTAATTTAAATCAAATCAAATAAGCGACTAAATGTCCGCTTATGAACGTAAATTTTTTTGAGTTAATGTATTTTCCCTCCCGTTCAGTATACTGAACTGGACGGGATCATCATTTAGTAGGAAACTTAATTTATATTCGACCGAAATATGTTTTTTAAATATCCACTAACAAACATTTAACAATATGGTTAATTGCACGTTCATAACTGTCAGGGCTATACCCACAGGGCTGTGGGTAACAGTTATCAATGTGCATTAAAATTTATTTCCTATTGCTCTGTAGCAATAGGAAATAAATTTGAATTGAAATGGTAAATAAGCCAATATACAACGGAACAGCACTACGGATTTCATGTTATCATGTGAAGCCTCTGATAAATACTTATGCGTTACCATTCTGGAGGACCAAGTAATATGTTATTGTTATTAAAATGTCATATAAGCAGAGATAAGGCAATTGCCGATTTCACTGCCTTATCACCACTTCAAGGGTTGAAGTTGTAGTTGACATCTGTCCATTCAAAGTATCGATACATTTGGTACTGCAACATTTATAAATAACAATTATTCACTTTTATCTCGTAATTTTGATGAAACGGAATGCATTACCCAAGTAAACAATCTTGTTGGGCAATACCCGCCGCCCACGGTTCCTGCGTCGTATTCCATTGTTTTGTCGGTTTGTATTTCCGTTATTGCCGATATTCTTGTTACTCCCTCCGATCTATCCCTGGTCCAATTCAAACGGGGACCGAAATTACGACGGTTCCAACGAACGACAAGGTTCGAACCACTAGCGGTGCCTGTATTATTGAATGTTGTCACAAATAACGACAATTTAACATATGTAAAGGTACTGTACTGTATTAATTGAAAAAATACTAATTTATTACTTTAAAGTTAAAACAATAGAGTAGATGTTCCTAAATTTATATTTTTTTAGTCAATTCAGTATTGTACTAGGTCTGCGATATTCTGAGTAAAAGGTATTTCTGTATTATTTAATCTTGTTGCATATAACAACAATTTAACACACGTGAAGGTACGCTACTGTATTAATTAAAAAATTTCAAATTTTTCGATATAAACTTTAAAATTAAAACAATACAGTGGATATTCTTAAATTTGTATTTTTTAAGTTAATTCAATATTATATTAAGTTACAGTTATTAATATGAATAGTAATTGCGACAATTACGGCCCAGTTTGCGACATTTTTCACACAATGACTGGATATGTTCTTTTTCTGTATCAGATTTATCCAGTCCATCAGGTTTCTCTAGTGGAGTCTGAAACCAATATCAGATAAAATGTAATTAAATATAAATTGGGTTAATTTAAATCAAATCAAAACAAAAATCATTTAGCCGCTTATGAACGTAAAATTTTTGAGTTAATGTTTTTTCCATCCCGTCCCGTCCAGTTCTGTATACAGATTCAGTATACTGAACTGGACGGGATTGTCATTTAGTAGGAAACTTAATTTGTATTAGACCGAAATATGTTTTTTTAAATATCCACTAACAAACATTTAACAATATGGTTAATTGCACGTTCATAACTGTCACCCCTGTGGGTAACAGCTATCAATGCGCATTAAAATTTATTTCCTATTGCTCTGCAGCAATAGGAAATAAATTTGAATTGAAATGGTAAATAAGCCAATATACAACGGAACAGCACTACGGATTTCATGTTATCATGTGAAGCCTCTGATAAATATCTACTTATGCGTTACCATTCTGGAGGACCAAGATGTCATATATCTTATTGTTATTAAAATGTCACATAAGGAGAGATAAGGCAATTGCCGATTTCACTGCCTTATCGGAGTTATAAGGCAGTGAAATCGGCAAATTCAAGGGTTCAAGTTGTAGTTGAACACAGATTACAAAGTAAGTACGGCAAAAACAAGTGGACAGATGTCCATGTGAGTCGTGAATTCGAATCTGGCCAAAACTACTAATACACTAAAAATAGATGAAGTACTAACTTGTTTGTGTGGATATATGTTGATTTTGCATCTTGTACATTCCTGGCCATAGTCAGCCCAGGAGTTAGCGCTCATCCACAACCTCTGGCAATTTGTACATCTGTATTCTCCAAAACACCGTTTGTTCCCTTGGTATGGTGTTAAACCTTTTCCAGGTGTTTTCGACTGAAATAATTGACAATCCTTTAGTAAAGTCGACCTCACGATCTAAGTGTTTGGTTTCATACTCATCCAGTCATTGTTCACCAGTACCCGGACATATAGCAACATTTCTGATTACAGATCTGCTCCTATTGGTGATGGCGTGATCTTATATCCCCATAGCCTTCCTTGATAAATGGGTTATCCAACACTAACTAAATTTTCATATCGGTCCAGTAGTTTCGGAGCCTATTTAATGAAAACAAACTATCAAATCCCTTTATAATACAAAGCAAAGTAAAAACATATAGTTATAAATTATCTTACTAATATCAGTAATATAATAAAAGCAAAAGTTAGTGACTATGAACGTATGGATAAATGGATGGATGTTTGTTACTTCTTCAATCAAAAATTACTTGACGATTTTGATGAATCTTTACAGTAATATATGCAATTGCAACCGCGGGAACAGCTATTATATTAAATAGTCAATATAGCAACATAAACGATAAAGACAAGTAAGTACCTGAAATAAATCAATGAAATTAAAATCGCTTCTATATTATTCATTATTAATGAACAGAAATTGTTAAATACGTACATATTAAATATGAATATATTTATACATATATATGTATAACAACAATTAACAATTACATTTTACAATACACTTATTAAATAATTGGTTGGCCATTTTATCATTTCGATTAAATAAAAGAAAGGTGTTCATAATGCTACTTAGTTAACTTACCATTGTGATTATTATATTGTAATTATATGTAATAAATAAATAACACTGTTACATTGACACAAAAGGATGTAAACGTCTAAAGTGTACAAACTTGTCTAACGTTTGTTGTTCACAACTTGCAAATATATCTATCTGATCTAAATATATGACAGAATTCAGTAATTTACCATAATATTTTATCAGTGTTGCCAAAAAAGTTTGAGCAAGCCACCAGTTTTTTCTTTAAGAAATTGTAACTCGGGACACCAGTGGAGGACGATGAGATGAGTATGAGGTGAGGTCAGCCCATCGTTGCTTTACCAGAAATTTAACGTGATGGTTTCCTGGAGAAGCACGTAGAGTTCAACCTGACGTAGTAACATTCACATTACTAACAACTAAAAAGTTCCCCTCCCCTTCCCCTCAGCAAGCCACCAGCAGGACTTCTCAAAGTCACCAAATATCCAACCAATTTGTTACCCTGTATTTATGAAATAAATAAGAATGTTACAATTCCATACAGTAAAAAAATATTCCATTAAATTTTGACAATATTTAGGTTATTTATTTAGAAATATAGGACAATATTAAAATATAATTTCTGTTCAGTAACTATTAATTAACAAATATGTTATTAAATTCTATTAATTTTTATGTTGGTTTTGTATTCAATAAAAAGTCCACTAAAACCAGTAACAAATTTTACACAATACAGGTGGTGAAATCTACCGGTTCTAGTGAAACGAATAAGATGGCAACACTGCTCTCTTTGTGCAAAATTCCTTGGATAAAGAATCACTATGGATATGACAGCGAATAATAATACCGTGATAGACCGAGATCACAGCATACGAAAATATACAGGAATAAAAAGGACAACATATTTTTTTGTTGTCCTTGTCTGAGTTTCGTTGGGCACAACCGAAGTTGTGACCAACAAAAGTTTGTGCCTTGCGATTTTTCTTGATTATTGAGTTATTTTGAGCCAAAAACATTATAGAAAGTGTGTCGATATATGTGATTTATATAATATTTATCGAGAAACATGGTGATATGTTATATCTTGGGCTGTAAAAGCCGTAGTGAGCGAAAATGTGAAAACATAAACTTTCATACGTAAGTACGACTTTTTATGGAATAATATGTTCTGATTTACAAAAATATCGATAAGGTTATCTTAATGGCTTATTAATACGTGAGGAATCGTGTCTGAATTAGTGAAATAAAGTGTTTAAAATATATTTTGTATTTACTGCGATGGTACTATTATACGACCAAATTCAGATGCTAAACATTTTAGTGGCTGCCTAAGTCTTTCATTACTTTTAATTTTTATAGGGTTATACGATTTTTAGGGTTACCAGTTAATAATGGGGAAATTACCCAAATGTTATGTATTTATTTTATTTATCATAAAATACGCTAAGGATAAATGTCTTTTTTTATTTTTCTTCTGATGATCTGAGTATGTGCATTTAATAGAGTTAATTATTTTAGATTTCCAAAAGATTCTACGATCCGGCAAATATGGATACGTGCAACAAGACGAGATAACTGGATTCCAAGTAAATATGCAAGAATATGCGCCAAACACTTTGAACGAAATTGTTTTAGGAAAACTTCTCGCAACGTTTATTTGAAAGCGTACTCGGTTCCGACGCTACATATTACTGCTAAGAAGGTAAAATATTATGATACTTGCTAATATTTAAAAACGTGTTATTGTGTACATATCATCAGTGAAAAATGGGGACAAAATATAGTAGCAGCCTTGCTAAAAATTGAGAATCTTAGCCATGATTTTGTACTATAACAGTTCATGGTTATGTTGAAAAAAGTGTTCTGAAATTGTCTACATAGTTCCTTAATTTTTACCACTTTAAAAAACAAGTACAAGTCCTTTTTGCTTTGGGATGACCCAAAGCAAAAAGGACTTGTACTTGTTTTTCAAAGTCCTATTAGAAGTTAAGACAGCCTGAAATGTCCAGAATCTAAATATGGTTCTGGTGTTTTAAAGTGTAATATATTTTTGTTATTTATAGTGAATGTTAATTATAATTAATAAATATTATCATTTTATTTCAGAGTCATGATGTTATAGAAATTCCAACCACATCGTCTGCTGCGATGGAAATTGACAGAAATCCTGTAAGTAGCTGGATTTATAAGTATTTGTATATTATACGTGTATTTTCTGTTATTTAAATTATAATTAACAATAATTTCAATATTAATCATTTCAGGTCGATACCGTGACACCGAGAAAAAAGAAACTTATAAGGAAATTAGAGTGCCAAACAGTGTTAGCCGAATCGCGAAAAAAGAAGCTGGCTATACTGAGATCAAAAAATAGTCGTCTCTTGAAACAAAACGCCGAGCTATCCGCTATTATTGAAAACTTGCTAGTGAAACGGTTGATTAATCAAGATACTGCGGACTTATTAACTACTGTCCATCCAGATGGAAACATTTTAAAAGTGAAGAAAAGTAAATTTTCACCCGAAGCCCGAAAATTTGCATTAACATTGCATTTTATAAGTCCGCGTGCATACAATTTTGTGAGGAATTATTTTGATACTTGTCTTCCGCATACACGCACACTTGCACGTTGGTATCAATCAGTAGAAGGCGAATCTGGATTTTCTTCAGAATCATTTACTGCACTTAGACTTTTAGTTAAAATTTCATCAAAGAAATTTATATGTGCATTGTGTTTTGACGAGATGGCCATTCGAAAGTCAGTTGAATGGGACGGCAAAAATTTTGTTGGGTTTGTCAACTGCGGTAACCAACTTAATAACGATTCTCTACCTGTCGCAAAAGAAGCTTTAGTTTTTATGTTGACCTGCCTAAACGGCAGTTGGAAACTTCCCGTCGGCTACTTTTTGATAGATGGGGTAACTGCCGAACAAAAAGCATCTTTACTTAAAACATGTATCAATTTAATAACTGAATGTGGTGTGGATGTTGCATCAGTTACTTTTGACGGATGTCCTGCAAATTATTCTATGGCTAAGTTATTGGGATGTCAATTAACAGGAGATGTGATTAATCCCATATTTATACACAAAAATAAAAAGATGGTAATATTCCCGGATCCATCTCATATGTTAAAATTAGTCCGAAATACACTAGGTGACAAAGAATGTCTTACAAATGCGGAAGGTGAAACTGTTTCTTGGCGTTACTTAAAACTATTGCATGAACTTCAAGAAGACGAGGGTTTTCATTTAGGAAATAAATTAAGAGGTGCCCATATTCTTTATAGGAAACAGATAATGAAAGTCAAATTAGCAGCGCAACTCTTCAGTGAATCAGTGGCCGATGCACTACAATTTAGCCACGAAAGTATCGGACTTCAACAATTTGATAATTGTGAGGCAACTGTAGATTTTATTAGGAAATTCAACACACTATTCGACATTTTGAACACGCGTAATTTGAACAGTTATGGTTTTAAAAAACCTCTCAAAATTAGTAATTATGAAACTATTAAACAATTCCTAGAAGAAATGTTTGACTATATAAAATTACTAAAAATTAACAACAGAAATATCTTAGATACGGAGAGGAAAACAGGATTTTTAGGTTTTTTACTATGTATTAAAAGTGTTTTATTTCTTTATGAGGAATTTGTAGTCTCAAATAAATTGGAATTCTTAACAACTTATAAACTAAGTCAAGACCACTTAGAAATTTTTTTTAGTGCTATTAGGGCAAAAGGTGGTTTTAATAATAATCCAACCGCTAGGCAATTTAAAGCTGCTTATAAACGCATGCTAGTTCATGGCGAGCTAAAACACCTGACTTCAGGTAATTGTTTGCCTTTGAGCGATATAAATATTTTAACGTACAGTAAGCCGGAGATCGCAATTAATAATACGACAGATCGTAATCGATTAGTAGAAAATGATACAGATCTTCTACCGTCATTAGAATCTGAGGTAGTTTTATTACAAGACCATGATTATCTGGCAAACCCAACAAGACTTACCGAATTCGCAGGACATGTAATTGTATACATTGCAGGTTTCGTCGTCAAAGCACTACAAAATCAAATTAAGTGCGAACAGTGCCTAAATGCATTGATTAGTAATGAAAAATTAGTTCATTCTTTACAGTATAAAAAAGACAAAGGTGGGTTGCATTATCCTTCTGAAGCTGTTGTTAAATTATGTAAAATAGCTGAAGAAATTTATAGAAAAAATAAAGTACATAAACTGAAAAACCCCTTACATTACCTCATACAGGAATGTTTAAAAAAAGCCTTGGCCTAAATTTATTCTCCGAAGATCATGAATTTGCAGATCGGTCAATTTTAGACAGCCATTATCCGCTTTTGATTAAAGCTATATGTAAAAAATATCTAAATGTACGTATTCATTATGCGACTAAATCGGTATGTAATAAAGGCGAAAACATTCGCAATTTTTACAACAAATTAATATTGTTTAAAGGTCAATAGGAATTCACAAGTGTTTTTTTTTGTCAAACTGTTAAAACAATAAAGATATTATGTTTTATAGTCTCTCTTTATTTGACGAATGAAGCCCTTGACTTTTGGAAAACCTATACCTATATGTAGATGACGTACTATGAAAATACTTCTCATATCTCCAGGGTGGATGATATATATACATATAGACAAGTACAGTAAAATAATATATGTATATATAAATGCAAATATATAAACATACTGATATACCCGTATAAAATACATATATAATTACATAAATAAACAAAAATTAAAGCATCAATAAGCTTTAATTTTTGTTTATTTATGTAATTTAAAAATGTAAAAGAGTACATACAAAAAAATATAATAAATTATAATAATATTATATATTTGTGGGTAAATTAATTAAGTTCATATCATCCGGCAACACCATGCGTAAGATGTACTCTATATCCATCCTTATCGGGTGTACGCGCACGTCGTGTCCATTTGATACTTGGTCCTAGGAAAATACCATCAAATAAAGTTGCCCATGATAAGTTATGTCAGGATGATATCATTAAAAGATTTTGTATAAATAATCTGACATAGATATGATAAAAATATTTCTATAAAGTATATGATAATAGAATATTATCAACTATCAACGCAGCCCGACTTCGCACGGGTCTATTATTCCATTTTAATTTAGCTATTTGTTTTTATTAGCGCGACCGTAGAGACAAATTATATTTATATTTTATTATTATGTCATAGGTATATTAGTACATAAGGTTTTTGTTTTTATACTACGATGGTGGCAAACAGGCATATGGCCCATCGGATGGTAAATGCTTCCCGTAGCCTATGGATGCAAGAGACACCAAGGTTATCACGTGCCTGTTAATAAGCCCGACCCATAAGAAACCTTAATACACCCTTCTTGAAAAATCTCATGCTGTAGTCTCGTGAGAAAACCTCGGCAGGTAGTTCATTCCACAATCTAGGTGTACGCGGGAGGGAGCTCCTCTGAAACTGCACTTTCCGAGACCACTTAGGTTCTAACGTGTGGGGATGAATTCCCTGTCGATGTACATAAGATATTTATAGCCATGTAGCCTGTATATATATAATGACAGTGGATCATTAGTTCCTACTGCGAGAAATGTGAGCATATGAAATATATATAATAATAATCATAGCATATAATATATACATGAAAATTATATATTGAATCGTATTGAATCAAATGAAAAGAAAACTATTATTTCATAATCAAATTTTATTAAAAATTTAGAAGTATCGATACAGCTTAAGTAACAGTTTATAATAATATGTTCATCAATAATATAATAATACAATATTGTAATACAATCTCCTTAATACTAATAAATATAGTAATTTAAGTATGCCAATACTGACATAATTAATTACTTCAGTAGAAATTAAAAATACTAAGGATTATTAATGGAACACGCGTTTTTTTTATAATAAAATTAAAACAACATGACGAAAGTCCATAGTTTAGGGAATATTATATCATATATATTTAATACTAGTTGACTCGTGCAAGAGCCGAACCCATATAAAGTGGGATAGTGGAAAAAGAAGAAGAAGAAGTATTTGATTGATTATATTTCACCCGATTTACATAATTTCGTTTTAAATTATAGCCTATGTGTTATTCTGATGTATAAGCTATATGACTGTAAAGTTTCATCAATATCAGTTGAGTAGTGTCTGCATTATAATAATAATAATTTCAGGACAATACACATAGCGCCATCTAGACCTAAGTTAAGCTAGTTAGTAATAACTGATACAAAAACTTAGATTTTTTTTCGTAAATACATACATATTATACATAGAAAACACCCAGACCGCTATAAACAATCATGCTTATGAATACAAAATGTTTGTGCCTTGCGAGGAATCGAACCCGTTACCATCGAATGTAAAGCGGTGTGCTAAACCTCTAAACCACCGAGGTCGTCATATACATGCATTTATAACATTATATATTAGTAATATTTTACATAGATATGGCACTAATAAATATAGGTTATTTTATCAGATAAAATAAAAATATTTCATGAATGCTACGTGAGTAAAAGAATGTAAGAGTAAGATAATGCAAAAACAATATTGATTAAATTACGAAATTGATTGAGTTTGTTTCATTTGAATTATCTTGTAATTGTATCAAAGTGCACATTTATAAAGAGTTTGCGTTGTTTAGAATTGTGTGAATACGTTTATAGTATACTAGCTACCCGCCCCGACCTCGCACGGGTGTACAATATACATGTATTATACATATTAACCATCATCTTAAAACACTATCTATATATTAAAATCAGTTGCGTAGTTTAAACGATCTGAGCGAAGAGACAGTGGAAGCGACTTTATTTTGTACTATGTAAAGATGTACTTAACACGGACATGTAAATTTAATTTTTTTTTGTTTATCCTTAAAACATATATATATGTTAGTGATTATGTTATATATAAATAATGGAACGAAAATGGACTTAGGCCATGCTCATACCTACACTCAAGCACCGTCGATTCAGCGACTCATTACTTAAATTTATTATAATTAAACTATAAATGGATTTAAATCGAAATGGCATGATTTTATGACGTCCACGTCGGCTATAAATGTTAGGTCGTATGTTGGGTATTATTTGTTAATAATGTGAAAAATGGGACAATACGGAAAAAAATAATATGTATGTATTATAGTTTCATCGTTAACAACTTTCAACTATCGTTAACGTTTTTTTTGTGAAATTAAACGATAAAAAAGTATAATTAAATTTCGTTAACTAATTAGAGATCGTATAGATTTTAAATTTTTACACAAATTCATGTGAAATGTAATATAATTGTAAACCTCTGAAAAATAACTCGCAACAACATGGACGTCTTAAAATTTAATAAATGGCTGTCTCAAATTAATGATAATATGTAACTAAATTATAAAAAATAAAATATAAAAATATTTAATTTAAAACAATAAGTATTAATGGCACATATTTAGCAATAATACATTACAAATGAAAAAAAAGAAACTTAATTCCCTACAGTTAACAACACTTATAATATATTTTTTTTGGCACATTAAGAATTCACTGGTTCTTTGGATATTTATACATAGGTATATCTTAAAATACAAAATTAAGAATAAATGGCAAATTTAGAAGTAGAATACAGGCAATATCTTGAGAGATAGCTTTACTTATTTATATTGTAAACCGCGACTTAACACCGATAATATTATGGCCACTAGCTGACACATAGTCAGCTCGTGACCTCGCCTAGTGTAAACTAGTCGAAACGTCGAGAGAGGTAAATACCTCAATTTATCATAAAATAATTTTATGTTAAGCCCCTGTACTACTCGTAACAATAGAAATAATGAAACAATATTTCTATTGTTACGAGTAGTAAAAAATTAACACAAATAGATCAACTTTTTTTTATTGGGTTGTTTAGACTATTGTCAGGTGCCTGTAGCACCTGTAGCACTGCGGCCTACATAGATCTATTGTGCTCGCCCATTTTCAGAGTTCGCTACCTAGACCCGTCAGGGACAAGAATTGAAGCATATTCTTGGGAGCTATGGTTTTTATCTTCTCGGAAAAGAGTGTAAACTTTCAAAAGGAGATATTTCGTTTATGTACGAGTAGGCTACAACCACATAGGATGTGTAGTGGCGTTTCCTCTTCAGTTTGGCAAAATCTGCAGATTTTTGTTGTGCATAGGCCTAGTTTTGCCATATGTTTGTTTAATTTGCAGTGTCCTGTGAGGGGTCTAGTCATCATGCATATGTTGTTTTTATATTAGGGCTTTTGAATGTACCAATCCTGACATTTCCTGCCAGTGATAGATCAACTTTGTTACGAGATAGTTTAAAATAGGTAAAACATTAGAAAATGTAAAATTTCGTAATAATTAAATAATGCTCACGTAATGAGCCTAATTTAGGCTGACCTAGCCCACTTTAAAGATTTTTTATTAGATGAATAAGTCATAATAATAAGTATTATAATTACAATAATTAATTAATGCAATTATTGTAGGTTACTGACATTTGACAATTCAACTACTCGTTGTCTATGATCATAATAATTTGCTTTTAATTATAAAATTAATATACAAAAAGATTAAAATAAACAAAATGACTTAAAATAATGTTAAATGTTTTTTCCCTTTCTGAATAAAATTAAAGAAAAGGTATTAACACAACCTGGCCATCGGGTCAATAACAGATGTACATCTTTTTCTTATGGTGTGATTACTAAATCTAGCTGCGTAGGATATTTTACCAAGGTTTTATAAATTTTATTTTAATTTCCAGGACAATTCACACAGTGCCGGCTAGTCCCAAGATAAGCGGAGCTTATTATAGGCACTAGACGAGTGATACAAATACTTTATTTTTTTTTGTATATGATATACATTATATATAAATAAATAAAAATATATTTTTCTATATTATATCTGCATTTGTATCACCCAGACATATACTAATTGCTTATGAATACAAATGCTTGTAGCGCAAGAGGAATTGAACCCGCAACTATCAGATGTAAAGCGGTGTGCTAAACTGCTGGACCATTATCTACTGAAACATTTTAATGAAAATACCTAAAGAACTAAATCGAGCGCTATCAGAAGGGACTGACTGACTGACTTTGTGCAAAATTCTAAAACAGTAGTAGCATATCTATATCTATACGGTGTCTATACGGTGGTACGTTTTATAAACTATAATTTATTTAAGGAACAGCTGTAGCAAGCAAATGTATGTTTCTTTATGTATTTTTTTATTTCCCTACTGCACTCTTCTAATTTAGTCAAAATTACACAACTGCGAGTTAGAAGCAGTATGTGTTCTTTTAAGGCGGAGTACCATGTAGTTGAACGTAAAAGAGCCATAAAATCCTAAACACAAAAAAAATAACCTATAACTACTTATACGAATCAGCGCCATATCCCCAATAACAAGAATCTATATAATCTAAAAATTACTTGTTCATATCTAAATATACATATAAACCATCATAAGTATCTGTAATGCCATTTGGAGAGAGTATATCGTAATATCTAGACATTAATAATATAATAATAGTATATATATATGAAATAATAATCTTACAATTAAGTCAAAACACACAATAAAATTTTTCAAAAGTTAAAGTTCGAAATATACATTTCAATATCTTGATAAAACTTATTTTTAAAACTTAAGTCTAGGATTAACATTTAAGACAACAAAAATATAAATTTCGATGTGGGCATAAAAAAATGTACTTAACTGTATGCAATTAATTAAGTAATAAAAACTAATTAAAAATATTTAAAATTTAGTGATATAGGAGTTTATTTACTCCATTTTACGGTTAAAGTAATTTATTCATCTTAAACTGTGTACATATAACCACAGTATAAGTAGTAAATTAGTAAATATTTTTATTTGCACCGTAAATATATGTCTCTAAATATAAATATATTGAAACAAGTTTCAAAACTAAATTACCTATAGAGACAAAAATAAAACATTTAAAAATTACTTAAGTAATACTAAATTTGTATAATAATTTTGACATTTTTTTGTTCTCTTTGGGATAGCAAATGGTTTGGTTTTATAATATTTTGGTTATATAATTTATATATATTCATTATAACAAATATTTTTGCACAGTATTGATAGTTTATTAGTTGTAATGAATTTTATTTCACACATTTTAAATTGAATACTAATAAACATAATCGCTTACTAATACTATATTACCATTCATATTTTGGAAACTTGACTTTATAACGCTAATACTTTAGAGTCGAAAATCCAAATTCCAAATATTCCAAAATTCATATTTTTTTAATTATTGCAGTATTGTATTAAGGGTGCATAAATAATAGGGATTCGCTTCAATGAAAAATGAAAATCAAGTGTGCAATATTTGAATTGAAGATAAGTTAATCTAAGATACAGTATCTTGAGTCTATTTATGTCAGTATATACTCGTATCCTAGTAACTAAGATAATACTAGCTTTTAGTACTCGCGCCGGCAATAATACCCGAGGGAACGGCACTTCTGACATAGATGCTGAGGGTGAATCTTGGACTGGTCACTCACGTCCAACCCGTCAGGTTTCTCCAGTGGTCTCTGCAAGAAAATATAAACAAATATAATATATTGTCATTTCTCTTTTGCCTTCATGATTGATTTGTTTTTTTTAAAGGATAATAATGTAATAGTGCACTCGCCTGCACTAATGGTATACGCTAGCGGGGCACTAGTGGAGGATGATAAGACAACTGACATGGTATTTGTTAGCAATTCCTTTCCCCCCGATTGAGTTGTTACTTCAGTCTTTCATGTAACTGGAATAGGAAACAGGCTGACTGCCTGATGGTAGTCACCTACATGGGGAAAGTGGATTGTTAGTAATGTGGACTGTTGACCCCATAGATAACAATATACCCGTAAGCTTGACATCCAGGCGGTTTCCCCTAGAAACTATCCTGATAAATTCCTGGCGAATTTATCGTGACGGACTAACTGATCTGAACTCATGTTCATCTTATTACCCTCAGTGCCTGTGCCGCGCCAGCGTAAACCATTAGCACAGGCGGATGCATCATTCCATTATCATCTATAAAATATTATTAAGTTTAATAAGATTTCTTAAGCTTATAGAGAGCGTACCTAGACTTAGGTGGTATAGACGTATTTTGCCAAAACCTGAAAACCACGTTGTGAAGAAGTGCCTTTTCATGGCAACAAGAGAACGAGGCAGAAAAGAGAACGAGGCATGCCGCTAATCTTAAACAATTAAACAATCAAATATCCTCACCGTTGCCTCACAGTACATTTATGAAAATATTATGTATACAAGGAAAAACTTAGATAGTTTCAAGAAACTTAAAGACTGTACAAGTAGAAACTTACGCAATAAAAATAAGCTAATTTTACCTAAATGCCGTCTACACAAAGTTAGTAATTCATTTTATGGTAATTGCGTAAGATTCTATAATAAACTGCCAGAGTCTACGCTAAATCTTACAGAGAGGCAATTCAAATCTTATATTAAACAAATGTTATGTAAAAAAGCCTATTATAAGATAGATGAATTTATAGATGATAGCAATATATAGCAAGAATAAGTTTATTTGCGGACAACGTTATAATTTTAATTTTCATACTGCTTTCTTGATATATGATAGCGTAGCGGCTTTTGTATTGATTGCCGCATGCATCCTTATGTAAAGTGCGAATACTGTAACTACCATATAGTAATTTTTGTAGCTGTGACGTGGTCGTGTGGAATGAGTAGTCATGCTCACTAAAATGTCCAGACATGTGGCGGCGTGGTGGGCCGGGTCAATGGGCTCCCTAAAATATGGTCGAACGCAGTGATGGCTGGCTCATCCGTCATACTCGTGAACGAGTGCTGCTTGTAGGGACTGGTCTGCTCTTATCACTACGACTGATTTAATCTTATTGCATGATTATATTTGACCCAAAAAATTAGTGCTTGTTGGTAGTTTGTATTCACACGTTTCGACTTGTAAATGTAAACTTACAAGGATTATTTAAAAGAGCAACACACAAGTTTCTTGCTCGTTCTTCTTGTGATGAGACAGCTTTCCGAACGAGTGGTAGATAAAAAACAAATTGTTATGACTATTCAAAGGTGCTTAAATTAAGTTTATTTGAATAAATGATTTTCTATTCTATTCTATTCTATTCTGGCTGACTAAAGTCCATAGGGGCATGAAGGAGAAGAGCCTGTCAAATGACGCTGCTTACCAGCGAAATGGCGCCTCAAGATTAGGAAATAACAGACCGACAAACCGGCCCCGTATAACAGAGTGGGAGATTGTTAGTAACGTGGTGTAAGAACCACGTTGCTAGCAAGCAATATACTTTATCAGGTGGCTTCTACGTGATTCCCACTGGAAACCCTTATAAGTTCGATGATGAACAAGAAGAACTAGAGTACCTAACTAACTAGTTACCTGTTTATGCGGGAACACATTGATGCGGCACTTGATACACTCCTGTCCATTGTTGGCCCAGGAGTTACCACTCATCCACTTACGCTTGCATTTAGGGCACTTGTATTCACCGAAGCATCGCTTCTTACCCTGGTATGGGGTTAACCCTTCGCCTTTAGGTCGAGCCTGTAACATACAATATTGAATGTTATACCGTCATACTCGTGAACAGGTGGTTTAGGTTATGGACGCTGGTAAGTGAGTTCTATTTAATTATATCATCATCATCATCATAGGCTCCCTGCAGTTCATTTCTGGACAAGGCACGTAACTGGGCACAATCTTCAACCCTTTTCGTCCGTCTCACGGGGCGTTTGACCATATAAATATATGTAATCTTTATTCATGTAATACAAATAGTTTAATAAAATTACATAATACATCACATTCTTTGTAATTTATTATATACCCTGAAATACCAGGAGTGTCACGAGCGCGATGCCGACTCTTAAAAAACCTTAATATACCCTTTTTGAAAAACCCCATGCTGTAGTCTCTCGAGAACACCTCGGCAGGTAGTTCATTCTACAATCTAAATGTACGCGGGGGGAGGAAACTTCTCTGAAACCGTTTGGGTATGAATTCCCTGTCCATGCCGAGCGATGATGGTAAAAGGTAGCCGTGGGCATCATGTAAAACGATTTCTTCAATTGTTGCATAAAGAATTTATCTACATAATAAAGTTACTTTGCGTAAATTAAATGTTCCCGTAATTTAAGCAAAATAAAAATATTTTGTATACATTAATCTTACTTATATCATAAACGCGAAAGTTTGTGAATATGGATGAATGTTTGTTACTCTGTTTTGCGAAAACTACTGAACGGATTATGAAGAAACTTTACAGTAATATAGCCAAGGGCGGATCCAGCTTTGGCGTCAGGAGGGGGTCACATAGTCGTGGTCAATTCAAGAACGAATAATTTAATTTTGATAACAATAGATACAAGTAAAAAGTAGGTATTTTAATAATGGACAAAGTTATTATATTATATTAAATTAATTAAATATTGAAGGTATGTAGTTGTCGAAGGTCTGTACAGTGTCAAAATATATAAATAAAACCATTATGTTCAATTAGTGGTCCACCCAAGTCCTGGAACCAAACCAGGGGGGGGGGGGGAGGTCATGACCCCCATGACCCCGCCCCCCTGGATCCGCCGTTGAATATAGCTTATATATTAGAATAATACAAAAACTATAAATTTCTCGGCTAGTTATACATAAATTAACATCAGCAGTGGTCTGAGTACCTACACTATAGCCATCGCTATACCTAGGTGGTCGTTAATTTAATCATTGCTGACATTGTAATGTGCAATGCTTACATTTTTAATTGTAAGCTAATTTTGTCAGTAGGTAATGGTAACATTATCAAGTGCTTACTCCAGTACATTTGAGATGAACGATTCTCGGAATTAGATAAACATTCGTGAGAGAATTGCTGTAACGCAGGCAACTGTCCATAATATACATATATGACTAGTTTTTACCCTAGGCTTCGTCTTCTAAACTACTAGACAGATTTGAATGAAATTTGGTACACAGATAGATAATAACATACCAAATTAACATATAGTATACTCTTTACTTAAACATGGCAGCGTGGCATGCCGTTGTTAAAAAATAATTGAGTGTTCATGAAATTTAGTTTATTTAAGGTTGATATGGGCTCAAATTAACAAAACATTTAAATTGTATGATTATATTAATTATTTTCCTTAAGGAACATATTATCAATATTTAGGTAAGGTCTCGGGTTACCGGATGAGATAAAGTACAATTTATATTATTAGCTAGTAAATCAGTACATTGTTTGTGTTCTTGGAACAAAGAAACAAATGTTTATAACAAAGCACTCGTTGTGTTCTAGTAGAAAGATAGACTATACTTACATACGGGAATAATACTCGTCGCTATTGTATACTGGTCGATACATTGACCAAATAAATAAATAAACCAAATTCATTTTAAATTTTAGTAATAGATGAGTCTAGAATGGTGCAACCGTTAGAAATTTATATGTCTTATACATAAAATTCTCGTTTCTCGATGTTAGTTACTATACTCCTCTAGGCTTGACTGATTTTTATAAAATTTTGTATGCATATTCAGTACATCTGAGAATCGGCTACTATTTATTTTCCACTTTTAAGGGATGTTCACCCCTAATATTTTTTATTTTATTTGTACATTTTGTTTTATAAAGGGGCATTAAAAAATGTACATACATACAACATACATACAACCCTAAATTTTCACCCTTCTACCACCAACCCTTGTTTTTAATAGCAATATTAGTACTTAAATTTATATGGCAAAACAACGTTTGCTGGGACAGTATATATATATATATATATATATATATATATATATATATATATACTATATTGATATATAGTATACTATATATAGCTTCACGACAAGACTAAAGGAAAAGGGGTACTTTTTACCAAAATTGTGCGGACGGAGGAGTATGAAATTTCGCACACTTATAGTGTGTTATATTATGTTATCTGTGCTTATAGTTTATATAGAGAAAGAGTGCATAGTTTATTTAGAAGTGCAAAATGTTAAATTCTTTTTAAAATTATGCATATAAATAGATTAAATCAATAAAAAAATATCACACAATACGTGTGTGTATCAAACACACACGTTTTGTTTACTGCTTGTGCGACTGCCAGTGCTTGTGATTATAGTCTTTGCGAAGAACCTTAATAATGTTTATACTTATAATTTAATCAATATTGGCCAAATTTCGATCACTAGTACACATAAAATGTATTTTTAAAAATGATTTTTTATACTTCTATTTTCAAAACATGCGCGCCGTATATTACAAGTAATTCGATTTTTAAATTTCCCAGATTCAAGATTATGTTAATTTTTTTTTTCTTTTGGCTCCAGTGGTTTGTGTTGCCATTAGCCAAAGATAATGTTAATAGAGACCATTACATGAAATAACGCTATTCATTCAATATCAATTATCACTGGCCAGTATTATTTATATTTTTATAGACAGTCTCTGGCTAGTATAATATAATATAGTATATATTTTAAAAATACAAATTAAAAAATTTATAATACAGGTAATACGATTTTTAGTTCTCTAAACAAGATTACTTTTTTTTTTAATTTATTTTTTATTCTATAAAAATTATTTATTTATTCCATTCATAATTTAAGAGTCACGCTCTTGTCGGTGGAGCTCTTGTAATTTTCCACAGTCCTCCATCAACCTCATTAGTTGTTAATACGACACTATTCCAAGTTTTTCCTTAATCTGCTTAATATAGCTGTGTCGTGGTCTTCCCTATCCCCTTTTTCCTTTGATAATATTATTCATAATTTCGTCGTGTCGTATCAAGTGCCCCAACATTTTCTAGCAGAACAATTAAGCAATATGATCAAAATCACTCACCTGGGGGCAATCTCCAATGTAATGGCCTTTTTTGAAGCATAAATGACACATGTAAGCCGGAGGGGGTGGTCTGGGTGGTCGTCTCAGTGACAACGCAGTTAGCTGCTCGGCCAACGAGCTGGTATCGTCTGCTGGAGGCTGCTGGGCAGAGCCCGGCGTTGCAGTTGGTAGAGGTCCCCATACCGAGCCTGGCACCCACTGTAAAGTGATGAAGGAGAATGTGAGCGAAGGAACTGTATTATAATGCTACTAAATATTATTATGTAGACATAGTATAGAGTTGCCAGCCCCAAATTAAAAAAAAAACAGGATTTGTAGTTGGATAAATTAGAACATTTGAGTATAAAAACAGGACGCAATAATAAAGTTGCAGTCGTTAATTAACATGTAGTGAAAATTAGTGAACCAAAGTATTAAAATCCCAAGACGCTGCTTACAAGTTACAACCAATTCATGACGTCGCGTCGTGTACTAAGACATGTAAAAACTAGGACATGTCTTGGGAAAACAGAACTGTTTACAACTCTAACACAGTATAATGTTAGATACAGACATCTAAATAAATAAACAATTTTAATAAACTGGCTGTAAAAAATACTATCGAATTAGGTAGATGGTAGGGATAAAATTAAAAATATCGACATTCATGAACGACTAACATAGGTTAGTCGTCCTACTTGAATAAATTATATTCAATTTGATTTTATTCCTAAAATAAAAGCCAAAATTACTCCGTAAATGATTAGCTATCTCCGAGTTAAAGCTCCGTCAAAAATAGTCCAGCCTTTGCAGAGATTAGCAACACAAGAATAAATAGGCAGACTAAAATAATTAAAATTAATTTGTTGATGTTAAATCTTATGAACGTATCATATGCATTTAGTGTTATGTGCAACTGTTAATTTTAAATTAAAAAGAGACTTCAATTTTATTTATTTATAATATATACATATACACGAGCGTAACAAACGTATTTTGTGATAACGGTGGTACAGTTCATATCTATCTATCTATAGCTGTCTATAGTTCAATCTGTCATTCAGATTTGATACAGGAAACTACATCATAAGTATCATTGTCATCAACCATCAAAAATTCAAATTGCTAGTTTATTCACGCGTAAATATAAAAGTATTCCTAATTCACATTAGGTCAATTGAAATCGACGCAGTTTTGTATAGACCTTACGGTTTGGTGATAAGGTTGTTTATTTAGTGGCAGCTCGAGGCATGATTCACGGCGTCAACGCACGCGCACGGAATTGGACCGAAGTAATTCGTTAAACAGATGCGCGCGCGCTTCTCTGCCGCCCAATAGGAAAGCGTAGCCTGTTATTTACTGCGATTTTATTTGACTAATCTTCTCCGCGTAGATACCACATTGATTATGTTAAGACGGGTTTCCTACTGCGTATTAACTAAGTCCTCAAATTCTAAAATCATTTATTCATGTAGGACATTTTGGCCGCTTATGAACGTAAAATTTTTATATTATAATTTTTACCCTACGGACGGTAGGGTAAAAATTATAATATAAAAAGTTCAGTATGCAGATTCAATTGAGAAGAACTGGCAAGAAACTCGACTGACTTTCTTATTTTTTTAAAGCCAGTTTTATTTACAATATTTACTTACATAGGTGTCTATGTCTAACATTAAACGAAAATCCCGTGCATGTACAAATATTGCCATGCACGCTCATTCAAGTCATCGTTTAGTGAGTAATAGGCTTTGCTCAGTAAATATGATTTAACAGATGTTTTGAAATTATTCAAGGGTAATTCCAGTATATCCTTTGGTATCTTATTATAATTTTTTATACCCGTTCTTATAAAAGACCTATTGACTTTTTCTAAAAGACACTTGAGGCCTCCAAGTGTGTCTTTAGATCTAATATTAATTTTATGAATATGGCTATTTTTGGAAATAAGTGCAGATTTTTGTTTACATATTACATATTCGAGTATATAAATTGAGAAGCAACGATGAGAATATTTGACTCTTTGAATTTCTCTCTTAATAAGTCACGACTACTCATACGCTAGTAGATCGCTTCGAAACATCTAATAGAAATATTTGAATTTGGAGACTGGAACGTTTATTTTTTTATTTATTTATTTCTGGCCACTAAGGGCCTATATTATAAATACCTTATAGACTAACACATATGTACTAATATTTGGAAATAAATATAAATCGTGGTCACGGCATTGACGACGGTAATCTGCCACTGTAACGCCGATACACCACACCTTTCGGCCAGTAGTCATCCTTTATGAAGGTGGTTTTAATTTGTCTATAGCTGTTAGCTGCAGCTGGTCAAGCTTTATATATCCTTTATTGCTTTTAAATACAATATTAGAAATATTGTGAGTAAAGAAGGATTTATTTCTGAACGAGATCTCTTCCAGTCAAGTTAAACAGCGTGGCACAGCGGACGAAAAAAAAGTACACTCCAAACCTGCGAAGGACTTATAGCTAACTCCTGCTGAAAGCTAACTCCTTTTTTTTTTGAGTGGAAAAATTTTCACACGATCGTCTTTCCACCAGTGTGGTTACTGTCGTAGAAATATGTAGTAACCTATTTATAAAGGGATATATGTTTTAATGGTAATGGTAGAGACTGTGAAGTAACATATACCTGTATAATTTTTGTTAAGGAATACAAAAAATAAACTTTAAATATATTAAAATAAAAAGAGTTAAACTAAATTAAACACTAAACCACGTGGTGTACCTACGATGCTACGATCTCAATTACAGAAGTCGCGAGATCATGTTATTCTACCGCGAATTTTATTAGTCCGCGTGGAGTTTAACCTAATTTTTCTAAAATAAAAGTAGCCTAAGTTACTCCTTATTATATCAGCTACCTGCCAAAAAAAGTCCCATCAAAACCGGTTCAGCCATTTCAGAGATTAGCCGGACCAAACAGATAGACAAAAATTGTAAAAAAAAATACTTTGGTGTATGTACCGTATTTATATTCATATGCATGTAATAAAAAACAGTTATTTCAATATTACAAACAGACACTCCAATTTTATCTATATGTAAAGATGTATAGATTAGGTCCTTTAAACATTGATGGAAAATACATATTTATATTTGACCCAGACACAAATACTCCACATACTCTTTTGTTTATTGTTAAAAAATATACATTTATTATTGCTGTTTCAAAGATCCTTTTGTATTTTTTATTATGGTCGAATTTCGACTACGGCGCGACCACTAGTTTATATAGATAAAAAAATTTAAAAGTTACAGTATAGTAGTAGTCATATTCATGAAGAAACTAAAATTAGACGCATATATAGTGGGTGGGGTAATTTTAGACAACGTTACGTTGGTCGCACTCACCATATTCTATTTGATACTGACCGTATTTTCTATTTAGGACGTTATTTGCAAAAGGGGTTTTTTTAAATGGATAATAATGGTATGGTTCACCCGCCTGAGCTAACGGTTTACGCTGGCGGAGAACCAGTAGAGGATGATAGGATGAGCATGAGGTCAGGTCAGTTAGCCATAGTGCCAATTGAAATGGAATTTTGAAAATGAAAACTTATCTAATGATTTCCAGGGGGAACCGTGTGGAGGTCAACATAGTTGGCTATATATTGCTGCTCGTGGGGAATAGTCAGTTCGGGTTACGAACACTGATTAGACTATTTTGCAATAACATATACATGGTGATCATTATATTCTCCCAAATTTGAATTTAAAAATGAATCTGTATTATTGTAAACATGTACAACAATTATTTGAAAAGAATACAAGCTGAGTTTCTTGTTAGTTCTTCTCATCTTGAAATCATTGGGAACTGACAGTAGATTTGACATATCATAAGTATTAGACCTACTTCAATAAAGAAATTTATAATTTGAATATATTACTTTTTAAAATTCATTCATTTATTATTTATAGAGCATATCATTTACATAATTATATTCGCACTAGCTGTAATACGGAGGTTTATCTTTTTCATTAATTTTATTTTAGTTAAAATATACCATATGTCAAAATGTTACGAAATCTAATGTAACGATGTCGTTACTTTCGATTTCATAATATTTGTACATTCTTTATTAAAGTAAAACAGCCATTTAGTGTGAAAGCTTACACACAGACAGATACACCTTCGCATTTATATTAGTTTAGATTACACTACTATCTTGATAATTTCCCCTTTTTTTTTAAATAATGTTTTATTCATGACCATGGATACAAGTCCTTCAGTCGACCACTTTATAGTTTCCCTCCTGTTATTTGTGTTGTTCAGTTGTTAGCAAACATTGCCAGTAGCTAAGTGATATTATTACGTAGAAATAAAAAAATAAAACTATTCAAAAGTCCTCATATAGATATTACGTTTGTTCGAATAAAGATTATTTATATTTCTACTATTTCATTGTAAAAAAATATAACACCATAGATAAAAAAAAATCTTAGCGATGTAAAATTATCCTTGTATTATTTAACATACGAAACAAAAACAATCGCGTGTAGGTACAGTAGAGTTCACTGCACTGTTGATTTCCCGCGTCCTTATCCGGGTATAAAAATATTATTTTTGTAATCACATATTTCTGCCATTACATAGTACGAGTATATTTTTTTGGAAACAGAGATGCAGTAGATAAATCTCTATTCCATTTTTGAATATCACAACTACAATTTTCACTATATTTTACGCGTTTTAGCTAAAAATATAGTGAAAATCATAACCTATTTTTAAATAGAGATTTGTGCAGCAGATATACTATTAAAATATATTAAAATAATAATGGTAGAAAAAGTGGCGTGATACGAAAATTACATCTTATGTAAAAAGTTCACGTGTCACAATGTTAGTTACTTTACTCCTCCGAAACGACTTGACTGATTTTTATGAGAATTTATATACAGTATGTCTGGGTATAGTATCTGGTATAAGGGTTGTCTCTAACATTTTTATTTTGGATTTTTTTTTGTATTTATAATGTGGCCTGAAAAACACATACACCCCTGAATTTTCACCCCTTTATCACCGACCCTTATTTTTTAATAGCGATTTTAATTTATATGGCAAAACATCGTTTATGGGGTCAGCTAGTATTCTATAAAAATGTACAAAATCTTTGATAGCAGGCATTATACTTTTGCATTATGCATTATACGTTTGTACTTTCAACAATATTGCCAGTATGCTGACCT